CCTTCTGGCAGGCCAATGAGCATGAGTGCATCTGGTGGTGGGGGGGGGAGGGATGGGGGAGGTGGGGGGAGAGACAAGGGAGGTGGGATGGTGCTTGCATGCATCACTTGTGAGAGCTTCAAGAGAGCAGTGGGGCCTTCTGGCAGGCCAATGAGCATGAGTGCATCTGGTGGTGGGGGGGGGGAGGGATGGGGGAGGTGGGGGGAGAGACAAGGGAGGTGGGATGGTGCTTGCATGCATCACTTGTGAGAGCTTCAAGAGAGCAGTGGGGCCTTCTGGCAGGCCAATGAGCATGAGTGCATCTGGTGGTGGGGGGGGGAGGGATGGGGGAGGTGGGGGGAGAGACAAGGGAGGTGGGATGGTGCTTGCATGCATCACTTGTGAGAGCTTCAAGAGAGCAGTGGGGCCTTCTGGCAGGCCGATGAGCATGAGTGCATCTGGTGGTGGGGGGGGGAGGGATGGGGGAGGTGGGGGGAGAGACAAGGGAGGTGGGATGGTGCTTGCATGCATCACTTGTGAGAGCTTCAAGAGAGCAGTGGGGCCTTCTGGCAGGCCAATGAGCATGAGTGCATCTGGTGGTGGGGGGGGGAGGGATGGGGGAGGTGGGGGGAGAGACAAGGGAGGTGGGATGGTGCTTGCATGCATCACTTGTGAGAGCTTCAAGAGAGCAGTGGGGCCTTCTGGCAGGCCAATGAGCATGAGTGCATCTGGTGGTGGGGGGGGGAGGGATGGGGGAGGTGGGGGGAGAGACAAGGGAGGTGGGATGGTGCTTGCATGCATCACTTGTGAGAGCTTCAAGAGAGCAGTGGGGCCTTCTGGCAGGCCGATGAGCATGAGTGCGTCTGGAGAAGGAAGGAGGGAGGGCGGAAGGAGCGGGGAGAGCGGGATACAGGTCGGAAGTGGGACGAATTTTGCACCACGTTCAAGAGCCGAAGCCAGAGACAAAACCAGAGAAGAAGTTGGATCGGATCTGAGAGGACGGAGACGTGCATGCATGGTCTAA